CTGGTCTATACCCCAGTTCTTATGCATACATAAATCTTTATTAAAAAATAAATAAAGACAACAGGTCCCAACCAGTCACTTGTGCTAAGCTTTTAGCCTGCTAGTCTGGAATTACCTGGGCAGCACTAACGCTGAGGAGGGCTAACAGACACCAACCCTTGGGCCACCACAGGACACCCCGCAGGAAATACTCCAGTTTCCTTGGCTTGCCCCCTCCCATCTACAAAAACCTTCCAGGGTGCAGGGATTCTCCCAGCTCGGGGGGTGGATGGGGGGAGCTGCCTAACCAGCTGGATCTTTAACTGTCCTCATTACATTTGCATTTTTCAGGCCTTTAAGGCAAAGAAATGTGTGGCATTTTAAATAACGCGCCACAGGCCCCCCAGAGGCTGGGCTGCGTGAAGAATAGAGCTCATCCCAGGGAGGCTGAGCCTTCTGGGGCTGAATCACCTCGGAAAGGAGCTTGAGGACCCCACCACATACACAGGATGGGCCAGACTAAGTCCCACCTCTGGGGAGGCGGCCTCTTTCCAAATCCCTCTGGCCCTTCTGAAAGCAGATGTTTGTTCTCTCTTAGCGACCCTCAGCCCCTCCACAGTTGATTTATTTCTTGGGATCAAAATCCAGGCGCGGTAGCCCACTCCTCTCCCCTCCTACCAAAGGCGTCTCTGGGCAGAGGCTGCCGGGAAAAGATGGTGGAGCTTCGGATGCCCCAGGATTAGTTGGGTGACATCCCCCCACCCCCCAGGCTCAGGAATTTTGGAGTTATGCAAACCATGCAAACTGGGCCGGCGGGTTCAGCCCTCTCCCCCCAGTCTCCTGTCTGAGAGACCCATCCCCCACTCAAAGCTCCCTTCACCACCCCCTGTCAACCCTTTGATTTATAGTAAGTAATTTCTCTCGCTGCCTTTACTGTCTTGGCATGACATCCTTGGATAATGAAACCTGCCTCCACAGGTCATTCTTAAAAGGTTCACGAAATGCCCTAACTAGAATGCGAAGGTGAAAGAAAAGAAACATAGAGAATTTCCAATTTTCAAAATCCCCGGAGAACAGGGGATAAACGCAGATTTGATGATTTAGAACCTGCGTTTTAAAAATCTCCCTGGGATGTTCGCGCCTCTATGTAAAGCTTCGGAAGCGCTATCAACCCACAGCTGGCACTGTCAAGATGAAGCGACCGTGCGCTTTCCAGAGCTGGAGAACAACTAATATCGTGCCTGAAAAAACAACCCCGTCCCAGTAAATTTAAAGATGTAACGTCTTTATTCAACGATCCATAAATCAGGCAGAAGCC